ATCCCTTACGTCCTTTAACACGATTATTATTTATTAAATTAGCTTTGCGAATCATTCGTTGAACTATGTTCGGACACGGAATTATTTAAATAAAATACCATTAACGTAAAATATCATTTACGTACTTTGTTAATCTTCACTGTACACCTTGCTAAAAATTTCACATGTTACACACGAGGTGTCATGCACACTAGAAAATTAAAACGGCCGTCACGGTTAAATTATTTATTATTTCGGGTCCGAAAAATGAGTAAATATTCTTCAGACGTTCTAAAGCAAAGGTGAACAGCGTTTTTCTTAAAAATATCACTGTTACGTAGTAAAAAAAAATCCCGAAAGTTCTCGCTTCGTGATTTGTTCAATACTTCGAACGTGGCTCGAGTCCGTCCCGACAATCTGTCAAAGCCTCGTGCTGCGGACTCTCTCGCGGACTCTCTCTCTCGCACCGTCACCTCTCATTGGCCAGTGTTTTTCGTTAATAACTCGCAAACGAAGCCGCGGATTGCATTTTCGCAAAGGAAAAAGTTACTTCAAATGACCTCAGCTACCCCTCATTTTCGGCTGTTAAAATAATTGTGGGACACCCTGTATAGTAAATAATTATATATAATTTTTTAAATATAATTATATTTATTTCGAGAGCCTCTTGCGAGAGCTTTCTCGATGAGCAAAGTCGTTCGAACGAACTCGTTCCAATTAAGTCTCCCTAATTGACGCTTAACTTTAGTACAAAAATGGATAATTTTGGAAGGCGAGGCTCGAATATTCACATCTTCTATTCTTAAATTGTCTATTTTTGTTTGCAATCCGAGCGCGAGTTAAGGAGAAATTTCTGTATTTATAACGTTCCTCTCATTGCTCCTTTCCCAACAAACGTTCTAAAATAGCTCCAACTAGATCCAACAACCTTTTTCTTCGCGAGATCTTCCTCAATAAACGTTCTAAAACAGTTCCAAACTCGATCGAAGAACCTTTTCCATCATTTCTCACGTTCCTTCCGCAGGACCATCCTCGACGAACGTTCTAAGATATTTACGACTTGCTCCAAAGTATGTTCTTTGATTTCTCTTGTTCCACCGACTCGTACTTCAAAGAACGTTCTAAGGCCGTTCGAACTCGTCCCGAGATGTCTATCGATTGTCCCCGTAAACTGCTCCGCGATGAATTGAAATTGACAGCGGTCGATTTCGCGCGAGTTTGATCCGCGAAAGCAGAGACAAGTTTCCTATTCGTAGTAAGTCGGACGAGATCGGCTGAACCAGTGGTGTCCGGATACTTACTGCCGGGTACGTGTATACAAGGTGTCTGAAAATTATTGTACAAGCGTTTAAAAACGTGTATCGTATTCCCGAGGTTATTCGAAGCAACTTTTTTGTTAGCGAAAATGTTCTACGAGGCTTCGTTTACGAGTTATTAACGAAAAACGGTGACCAATGAGAGTCGCCCTCGGCCGGCGCTCCGTCCTCGCGGCCAATGCCGGCCTTGTGACGCAGCGGCGGTGGTCGCGAGGCCTGCGGCGCCGGCCGAGCGCGACTCTCATTGGCCAGTGTTTTTCGCGAATAACTCGTGAATGAAGCCTCGGAGAAAGTTTTTGTAAAGGAAAAAGTTGCTTCGAATGGGCTCGGGAATACGATACATATTTTTAAACGCTTGTACAATAATTTCGAGACAGCCTGTACGGATACATATTGCGAGAGACGCGGCGAACGTAGCTTTTCAACTTGGAGTTTGAAGTTGGCCGGAGCTATCGTAACCTTTTTGAATTCTCGTCGAAGTAACTTAGCGTTAGTGGCCAACGGCAGTACAGTAGAACGCAGCGTGTATAAGCTCTCTTAAGGCTTGCATACCAATTAAGAGAACACTTCTCGCTCTCTATTATTCGCGCTGGAGTACCCCGAATCGATATAGGGGCTTGCTTTATCGACCGACAAAACTCTCTCGTAGACAAGAATCAACTATCCCGAGCGAGAAAGAAGAGAACAAAAAATACCTCTTTCTTTATCCAGCGCGAGCAAGCATTCCAAGCACCGAACATCCGGTTGTTCGCGACCACCGGGTACATACATCCGTTTTTCTCGAACCGCGTCCAGGTAATTCCCGGCCTAAGTGGCGGTGCCTCGATCGTGTTTCGGTCGCTCTTCATTTGCAAAACGTACGAATAAGCGAACGAAAAAAAAGCTAAAAAGCAAAAAGAAAAGAAACAGACAAAGATAAAAAAAAAAGAAAAAAAAGTGAAAATAGAAAAATCGAACACACGGAAAATTAACGATACAGGAAAAAAAAAAGAAATACAATTTATATCCCCGCTTATTATTTTTCTATTATAGAATTGTTTCTGTATCTCGGAGAATGCAATGCAAGGCTTTGTGCCGTGCCATTATATCATTTCTACATTATATGAATCACACTCGCTCTAGTCCTATTCTTTGTACATAATAACACAGTCCCCATCGGTCGTAATAAGTATGTAATGTTATCGAGAGACATAGTATAAGTTTTTTCCTTCGACGAAAACATAACGTAAACATTGAACCACAACAGCATATCATGTGACATTCGACACCTCAACGCGACACATACGAAACAAAAAAAAAGAACGTAAACATAACACACACGCACACACTCACACACACACCGCCATACGAACAGTTGATACACGTAACAGTGTTTTTTTTTTCTCCACGAGTCTCTATTTTTGGCTGCGGCGCTCGCAGGCTTACCACTGATTGCTCATTCCATTCGATGTCATGTCACGTTCTTTCGAAGTCGGGTACACAAATAAGCGAGCAACGCCGCGCCGTTGAACGATAACAGAGAATATCGACGGCGGGAAGACAAAAGGCCGCGCGCGAACCTCGTTTCCCACCCGTTCGCTGCAAAATCACGCACCCGAACTTTAAATGCAAGCAACATCACGATTCACGATCGTTGTCTTCTCACACCGTTCTACGTCCGTCCGTCCGTCCGACCGTGTGCTCTGTGTGTATGCGCGCGCACTCAAGGGTGGGAGGCGAGACGACGCGCCGCGAGACTCTCACCGTGACAGCGAATAGCCCAGAATCGAGCCGAGTCGAGTCGAGTCGAGTCGAATCGAATCGAATCGATCGGTGACGACCGTGGACAAAGATGATCGCCGCGTATCGGATCTGTCGGCGATCGAACACCGCGCGATGATAACAAACAAACGCCACGGCGGAAACCTGTTTGTTCGTTTCTGTACGCTCGCGAGAATAATTTCCCTTGGACCTGTGTACCCACCGGCTCGATATTTAATTACGCTCGTTTGTTCAATGTGGCTCGTCGTTGTTACTTATTTGTGTGCGTGTCTATTTATTATTAATTACTCACTTCATGAGATCATGCTGATTTTTTGTCAATTATTTTGCCAAATCGAATATCCGTATCTCTCTCGCGCGCGTTTCGAGAATAAAAAAGAAAAGAAAAAAGGAAAAAAAATGTAGAAAAAAAAGATGATCGAAGCAAGAACTTTTTTTGTGTCGAGAAATAACGAAATACGAAATGTCGAGTACGATTTGTACGATATATATTTATAGAGACAAAATCAGAAAATCAAAAATTGAAAAAAAAACAGATTAGAGACGAACGGATTCTATTGTAAAAATATGTGCGAAAGATTTAGAGAAACGAAAGTGATGGTCCCATTCAAAAATTGCAAGCTCGCTTGTGGACGCGGGCGACTAGGCAGGGGTGAGTAAGCTGGCGGCGCGTCGCATACGAGCGATGCGTGAGAAAAACAACCATAATTTGCCGAGAGACGAACTTACGGAAATTTACGAAAAAATACAAATTATGAGAATTATTATAATTATTAAAAAAAAAAGAAAAACAAAAACAAAACGGTAACGATAGAGAAACCAGGCAAAAAATAAATAGAAAAGAACGAAAAGCTAAAGAAACCAAAAAAAAATAAAATAAAATTCGGTCTCTCTCTCTCTTCTCTCTATATGCACGTGACGAGCCCGGTCCTTTTTTAGAGAGAATTCGGACGTCACGTGACACTAATTCGAGCGACTATAACACACCATTGTGTGACATTTGATCTTGACTGAACCACGACTGTGTTTCCAAACTAGGTAAAGTTTTACAGAGTGAGTGAGATAAGAGGCAGGGGCGGGCGTCGTCGGCCTTTAAACCCCCCGCCGCACGTTACCCCTCCACCTTTGGTTGTGGACCCACTTGACAACAAGCTGTGCAATCGTTCAGAGTCAATTGATTGGATTTGGTGGATAATCCAACGTACGTACAATATGTCGTGAACAAAGCAAAGAACAAATAGATCTGTGAGAATAAGACGATATACTGAATCAAGAGGAGTGAGTGGGGAGGCATAGAGGCTACTGTAGTTTCGGAACACAGCCATGGTCTCCCTACCTCCCAGGTACATGGCAACATCATCACTGCTCTTTCTCTCTCTCTCTCTCTCTCTCTCTCTCTCTCTCTCTCTCTCTCTATCTATCTATCTATCTATCTATCTATCTCTATCTCTCTATCTCTCTTTCTATCTATCTATCTATCTATTCACACTTTCTTTCTCATTCGTTTCAGCCATTTTGTTCATTTGATGCGCCCTGCGCCACGTTTCACCTTCGTTCGCCTTCGTTCACCTTCGTTCACCCGGATCCATCAACAAACGATCCTTTCGTTCTCGTCTCTCGCTCTCTTCCGTTTCGTTTCATTTCACTAAGGTCATTGAAATATTCCGTTCGAATGCGACATTCTCTCTCTTATTTATCGCGGTTACGTCAGTCACGCGTTCATCCGTTATTTTTCACTGTTCACACCGTCGCTCGTGTCCTGCGTGAACTTTCCTTCCTCTCTCTCTCACTCTCTCACTCTCTCTCTGTTTCGTTTAACCAGAATATTTCAGATATTTCATTCGGATGTCATTCTTTCTCTTTCTCTCTCTCTTTTCTCTCTCTCTCTCTCTCTCTCTCTCTTCTTCTATCAACTATTGTTCATGCACCGACCATAAGGACAGCGACGGTGTCGCTAAAGGATTCATAAAGGGAATCGAGAGTATCCGCCATCTTGATAAGCCACGCTGGGCTTCCAATTAACTCTTAACCTCTTAACCCTTTACACTCGAAGCAACACTTTCTCCATTTTATATGACCTAGTGCATTTTATGAAATTAAATAATGTGACTCGTGCAACAGTTACGCTTGCAACAGCTCTTTAAACATAAAGAAATTTGGTTAATAACATTATTTCGAGACGCGACATTTTGGCATTTCGGATACCGTACGCGAATATCTATTGGACTTTTGGGAAACCCACTCGACCACTACCGAGCTGTTCCATGCGACGCTGAAGCGTCGAAATGACTAGAAACCGTGCCGTTGCAATTGCAAGTTGCTTGAAACGCGAATGAACGCGTACGAGTTTCCTTTATGCGTGTGTAGTAACGCTGTGCTGCCAAGATGGCGGATAGTCTGGATACGCTACTCTTTCGTTTTTTGTGCCAACGAGGTGCTTATAGTCCTTATGGTCCGTGGGTTCACGTGTCATTTTTCGCTGTTCACACCGTCACTCGAGCCTTGCGTGAATTTTCTCCCACTGTCTCCCCTTCTTTCTCTCTCTCTCTCTCTCTCTCTGTCTCTCTCTCTCTCTGTCGCTCTCTGTCTGTCAGTACCCTCCCCCCTCTCTCTTTTGTTCTCTCTCTCTCTCTCTCTCTCTCTCTCTCTCTCTCTGTCTGTCTGTACTCTCCCCCCTCTCTCTCTCTTTTGTTCTCTCTCTCCAACTGTCTCTGTCTCTTTCGTTCACGCCTACTTCAGTTCAGTTCACCGTTCTTTCGTTTCGAGCGTTGATTAAAAAAAAAATCACCGGTTTTTGCTTGGCTGTGCACATCGATCGATAAGTTTGCTAAATCTCCAC